CCTTTATGCTACCATGGATCCGCCAAATAACTGTAGCAAAACAGATTAATAATGGATATATAAAGGATAGATATCGGGATGATAAAGGGATACCGATATATATTTTTTATGTATTTATTGAACCTGTGTAGACTGTAGTAAACAGATTTTGTATTAGTTAGTATTTAGAGGTTATTAGATTTGATAACATTTTAAACTATTAGATTTATATAACAAAAACAAACTTGGTAAACTAATTTTTTATCAGATTTAACAGGTTATCAATTTTGAAAGGTTTGATTTTGTACTTATATAATAAAATTTTAAAAACTAATTTTTTAATATAATATCTATTATGTATTAGATTTTTTGGTTAATTAAGCAAAGTGTATTTTTTAATTATTTTAAATTTTAAACAAAGCTATTTCAAATTTAGAAATTAATAAAGCTTGAAAATATAATCAAACTTTTATATAAGTATTTTATCTTTATTTCTTAAAACTAACCACTATTAAATATATAAAAATATATTAGGATGCTATATTATAGTAGACACTTTTTAAAAATTTGTACAAAGCCAAATATATAAGGTATAAAGCTAAAAATTAAAATATAAATTTGTTAAATCTACAGTATATTTTTTAAATAAAAAAATTATAAAATTCTGTGCAATACTTTTTGAAATAATTAGTTTATATAATATCGTATAATGTTATATATATATATAATAGTAATTTTTTAAAAATTAGTTATTATGTATAATTACTATATATTAAAAGATAATTTTTTATTAAGTAAACTAATTTTTTTTTAACTTTGGCAATCTTGCCTTTATTATTTGAGAGATTCCTATACTATTATATACTTATAAAATAATGCCATTACAGCTACTACTATTTCTTATATATAACAAAAACTTACTTAGTTACTATAAACACCTAAATAGATCTGCTACAACAACATGTTCTCTCTTTTACAGGGCCCTAACTTACTAGAACTTATCTGCAAAATTATCAACAGCCTGCTGTTAGCTTGTCAGGATTGCTTTATCTTTTTTTTAAAATTCTTTCTACCTAGATCCAGGCAAACTAATTACTTTTCTTGCACTTATATAAGAAAAAACCACAAATGCCAAATTTACAAAAAAAAAAAAAAATTTAGAAAATGCATACAAGAAGACTAACCTAAAAGGAATTCAATTATAAAAGAAAAAAAGATGAATAAAATAAAAAAGAAAAGAATAAAGTATCTTGATATATATAAATGAAATACACTATTATAATTGGTAAAAAAAAATTATATAACAATTATAACTATTGTATATCCCTAAAAAAATCTTTGTTTCCCTTCAACTAATCAACCTATTCTAGATATATTTTAACTTGTGACCTGATATGTCACATGGAGTAGCATTGTATTTATAAGTAAACAAAATACATAGTTGCATTCTACTGTGTTTGTTCAGATTTGGGAAGTAAACAATACCAATTATTTAAAAGAGATAAACCAAATTCCTACTTTTGATAAAAAAATTTTGAAAAACTAGTAGGAAAGTAAAAATAAATAAGAGAGAAGCCACTTGACTGAAAAAAAAGTGCAGTTTAAAAGAAGTATGGTGCTGGAAGTCTATACTTGATAATCACATGTTTACATAAACATAGGAACTTTAAAAAGCATTAACTTTTTATAGAAGCAATATTTTCAAAAACCAACCAGTAACTTTGTAGAGCTTATTATGAAGAAAAAGTTACTTGTCAGTTTTTTAAAATACAGCTTCAATAAAAAGGTAATGCATTTTAAAATTTCTATGTTTATTTAAAAATTAAAACAGTGAAGCATCTAATTAGCTAGTAAAAATCATCAAAAAATTCATTGCTTTTTGTATATAATTGTAAAAATAATTCAATAATATTACAAACTTAAGAAAAATATATTAAATTAACTTATAAAACAATATTCTATTATACAAATAAAATATCAATTTGAAATCATAGAATATTTTATTATAGTAAGCTATAATATATAATAAAATAGTAAAGTTTATTTTATCAAATCTGATATCCAAACTTTTTTTAAATTGAAGCATTTATTTTATGTGAATAGAATAAATAAAAAATAAATTATAAATTATTTAATTTAACTCCATATCAAATTTATTAGATTATTCATCACTATTTGTAAAGTTATAATGAATTCATCTATATATTAATGTAATTTAGATGTACAAAGTATAAGTTCTTAGTTTACTAGAATAATAATCTAAAAACTAATTCATAAACTAAAATGTATGTTTTATTGCGATTTGCATAATTTTGTGACCCCAATAATTAATTTTTTTTATGATTAATTGTGATCACAATTGCTAAAGCCAGTTAATTTATCATGAATCAGAGTTTGTATAAAGTTAGATTTATGATAAATTGGCCAGCTTTAGCAATCGCAATTGCAATTAATTATAAAAAAAATTAATCATAGGATCACAAACCACAATAATCAAATCTAAAATGGAGCAAATCTTCTAAAAATATCTAAATTTGTAACTGAACTTGTTATTGGGCTTTCAATTATATTTTGCACCAGACATAATCTCTATAGATTATATCTAGTGCAAAATATTGTTGAAACCCGATGACAAATTTTTCTTTGAAAACACCCAAGTGTTTTTATGATTAATTATAAGCAATATACCACTATTTTGTCAATGTTTAGATGTTATACAAATCTAAGTTGCATTGCCTTCAGTCCTATATATATCATGTGATGTTTTTATTTTGTTCATTAATTATCTAATTTGTTTGAATTAATTCACAATTCCTCATATATCAAAAAGATAAAGGCAAATAAGTCATTTATCTAGAAAACAAGATCGCTTCACATCTAAAGAAGAATTAAATGAGATTGCCAAATTACAAAGTGAATCCAAGATTGTCAGTCTACTGGTGAAAAGAGTGTAGTCAGTCTACTGGTGAAAAGAGTGTATTTTAAAAACTCAAGAACCATGATCTGGAGGGGAAAAAAAAAACAGGAAGAAGATAAAAGAAAAAATAGAAATGATAATAATTCACTTGCTACTAAAATATTGTATAATGTTTTATTTAATGCTGAAGTATCTAGTAACATATTACTTAATGCTAAAGTGTCTAGTAACATATTACTCAATGCTGAATCATCAAGTAACATGTTACTTGATGCTAAAGCATCAAGTAACATGTTACTCGATGCTAATGCATCATTACAATCATCCAATAAAACTATACAAAGCACTTCATCACCCTCTAATCTTGCACCAATTCTACATATACATCTAGAAGAAATTAATAAGTGGTTCCAAATAGGAAAATCATCAAAAAATAATATATCAATATATGATTACCTACGCCTATTAAGATTAAGCTGATATATCCAATTATTGTTAGATAGGCAAAGCAAAATGAATACTAGTATCCAGTTGTTATATACAATATGGAATAAGAGTGATTATATAACAAGATATATTAGAAAATAGGGTGATCATTATATAGAATCAGAAGAGCTTTTTTCATATCATCAAGAAAAGTATAAAAAAGTAATAGGCTTGCTTGATAATAAGGATTTTTTAAAAGGGTGTCAAGAGTAGCTACAGCAACAATTACCAGAATCATGATCTCCCAGAGCCCTAAAAATATATATTGAAAAAACATTATTACCAAAAATAAGAGGCATAAAAAATACAATTTCTAAGAAAATGTGTCAAACATATATATATGCATTAGAATATAAATACAACAAAAGAAAGAAGGGTATATATAAAAATCAGAATTACTAAATTTTAGTCAACTAGTCAGTCGACTAACTAATACAATCAATTAGTTAATTAATTATATACCTGATCATTATATCAAAATTATGGACTATTAATGAATAATATTCTAATCCATATACGAATAAAGTTTTTGCTTATTCATATATGGATCATGATATTATTTATACTATATTTTAATTAACTGATAAAGTTTTAATTCCCATTTTTAGATGTATATTATGATGGGCATGAACAGCCAGATATGTTGGTGTATATGAAGGGATGGCTAGAGAAGATGTTTATATACAAGATGTATATAAAAGATTTTGTTAGTGATATGCTAGAGATTATAGTAGAGCCTGAACTCAAACATGGTAAAAAGGAGATGATTCAGATGACATATGATGAATGCCACTTTTATGCAAATAATAGGCAATGCAGAATTTGGATTAGAAGGGATGAAAATATTTTGCTCTCAAAACATATGGGACTTTTTGTAATGGTTTCAGCTTTTATATGTCTGTGCTATGGTTTATTACAGCCTTTTAAAGAGCAACTCCAGCCAATCCACATGTTATGTATAAGAAATTTTTCATTATTCACTCTGTGCAGGAAGATGAGTATTGGAAATCAGAGCATATGTTAGATCAGGTTTTTTTTTTCTTTTGACTATAACTAGAGATACCTTACTCTAACTAATTAATCTCTCTGGGTTATAATTAAAAGTTTTCTTATACTAATTTCTAATTGTAACTAGAGAAATTATATTAGTTAGTATAAGGGTACCCCAATTTCAGTTAGAGGATTGAAATTTTTTTTTTCTTTCTCCTAAGTTTTATTTCAATCATACAGCTTTTACAAAAAGCAAAACCTATATTTGAAATATTGCATCCCGGTTGTGTGGAAATTTTTTGTTTTGACCAGTTTACCAACTATAATGCAATAGCAGAGAATGCCCTAGTTGTAGCAAGAATAAATAAAGACCCTAGAGGAAAACAGCCTAAAATGTGTGATAGTTGGTATATCAATAAGTATAGTAAAAAGCATATTCAAAAGATGATATTCCCAGACAATTATCAGGTTGTAAATTTGAAAGGAGAACCAAAAGGCATCCAACAAATACTTGATGAACATAATCTTTGGCTAGATAGGGAGTAAATTTAGTATATAATTGCTGTTTTAAAAAGAGTAATGATGATTTTTAAGAGTTAAACTGCTATATATAAAAAATTATATCATTACAATCAGATTTCTATGAACAGAAATTATTATAAAAAGAAGCAATAGTTGAAAAGGATCATATTTTTGAACTATACCCTAAGTTCCATTGTGAATACAATTTTATTAAATGTTATTAGGGTTTTGCAAAACAAGAACTTAGGGCATCATGTAGTTATAATTATAATGACTTAATAAGCTGACTTCCAGAAGCCCTCAGTAATGTTCCAATATTAACTGTTTGCAAGTTTGCACAAAAATCATGGAGGTATATGGATGTCTATAATAAGGGTTTAGATATAGTAGCTGAGTGTAGGGTAGGAGGCACGGGGTCCCTGGGCATGCCCATATCATGTGATCACAAAGAAATAATAGCGCATATGATTGGCTAATGTAAATCTAATGTAATTTATTGTAAATACTGTATTTTACAAATGCAACTACTTATAAATGCGAGTCTTATACCAACTTCTAATGATTCCCAAAATAATTTATCTCGACCTCTTTGCGCCTTTTGCATAATATTAATGGATAATAATTATCTCGCGATCTTATAATTAGCATTACAATCACTGTTCTGTCTGCACAATACTACTATAATAACTATCTTGCGACCTCAATAATTAATATATAACAATTATCTTGCAATCTACAATAATCAACCCAATTATAGAATTCTCTAATTTGTATATATAACCTAATTAAGGTCTTAAATCTGCGATCGTGAGTTAAATAATTTTCTATTTTTGTTATTACAGCTTCGGTTTAGACCATTTATAATCTACTAAATAAGGAATATCAATAATATAAGACCAATAGCTAAATATAGGATAAAAAAATATAGTAATGAAAAATTATAGTCTGCGAAAAAAGAAAGAAACTTTAACAATGTGATTATCTCGCATCTACAATAATCAACCCCAATATGGAATTCTCTAATTTGTATACATAACCTAATTAAAATTAAATAATTTTCTATCTTTTTTCTTACGACTTCGGTTTAGACTATCTATCGTCTACTAAATAAAGAAATAATTAATATAAGACTAATAACTAAATACATAGTAATGGAAAAATTATAGTTTACAAGAAAAGAAAAAATTTGTTTGAAACTTTAACAATGCGATTACATAAATCTTTGATAATTGATCATGCATCAATAATAAAAAACTGATTAATATGAATAAGAATGTCAAAGTAAAAATAAAAAATTTTATTCTACATAATTAAAAGTAAAATTATCTGGTTTAAAAAAAAACACATTAATAAATATCGCCAATATATCATCAATACAAATAAAATTATATAAAGCTAACTTATCTGAAAGCTAGATCATATTATCTGCAAAATAAAAAAAATTAATAATATCACTATGCAAGTCTCTTCCAGTTTTACTCTTCCACTTTCAACACAAGGTCAATGGTGGTCTGGTTTTTACCGTTCTGAAGATAAGAAAGAAGGAAATAGATATAGCGCAAAATGCAAATATTGTTTGACAGAAATGGGTGGTAAGCTGAAAGGCTTCACCAACATGTTCTTCGATGTAATGATTGGTCCATTTCTGATAAAGCCAATTACCTTCATAAGGTTGCTGAAGAAAGCTCTTCATCTCGCAAACGTATCCATGATAATGAGGATACTTCAGCTGAGCCAACTATTCAAGAAGATAATAGCTCACAGCAGTTATCTATGTCCCATCCTCATCAAGAACCTATTATTAAATGGTTTGCGCCACCTTTATCACAAGCACAGTCTGAAAAACTTCATCAAAAACTTCTTAAAGCCATGATATATGGAAATAATTCATTTTACCTTGTTGAAAATCCATATTTTCAAAACTTTCTCTATGAATTAAATCCTTATTATCATCCTCCTTCTCAAAGTATGGTTAGAGGGCGTCTTCTTACCAAGATGTTTTCTGTTCATACTCTGGAAAAATTAAATACTTTTCCTACTTTTATGGATCTTACAATTTCTCTTGATAGATAGACAGATAATTCTGGAAATTCAATTTATGGATTTATGGCCCTTAAACAACATCAAGAGTTTGTGTTGGATATTATAGATCTATCTGCATATCATCACACGGCAGAATTTCTCAAAAACAAAACACTAGAAGTTTTATCTACAAATGGCATTCAAATGCCATCCGTTCTTGCTTGTGTCACAGACAACCCTTCGAATATGGACAAAATGAGGAGATTAATCAATGTAAATATATGAATATTAGATATAACAAAACTAATAGCTTATGCTACAACAAGTTGCGACATAGCTGTAGTAGTTTTGATTATATATATATATTAATGTATAAAACTAACACATATTATAAAATTTTAGGACGAATAACATAATATTATCTCTATTCGTTGCTGCTTGCATGTTTTTAACTTAATTGCTAAAGGCATCGCTTGCTTCTCCAGTACTATTTCAGTATATAAAAATAACCAAAAGCTTGTAAATTTCTTTAATTTATCGCATATATGGAATAGAGAATTAAGAAACTGGCAAAAAGAGCACGATATCAATCACTTCCTATTCACATTTTGTGAAACAAGGTGGTGCTCACTCGCTAAAGTTTGTATAGGAGTATCAACCTACGAACAAGGTTTCCAACACTGCCTCTCATTAAGTGAAAATCTGCATCTTAAATATCCAAAGATTGAGAATACTGCTATCAAAAATATTATTCGTAACAAATATCACTTTGCCACTAATAACATACTGGTAAAGGTATTAAAGCCAGTTGTCGATGCTATTGGTAGGCTAGAATCAAGTGATTCTATGCTCGCTGATGTTTTTAAAGAGCTTGTTAATATTCATCAACAAATATCTCAATCTGAGGTTCCTATTGATAATTTTAAAACC